CCCGCGGTGAGTGGTCCCGCGCAGGGAGCGTGTCCCGGCGGCACGGCCGGGCGCGCGGCCCTTCTCTACCCTCCAGGGGGACAGGAGCCGGCCTTGCTCCGAGGGGCCCTTCGAGGACGCCCGCCCGGCTCTTGGGGAAAGGACGTCCCAGATAGCAGTGCCAGGAGCACAGTTGGCTGCACCCCCCCTTTTTTTTTTTCCTCAGAGAGGCAAGGGAGAAAGTAGGCCTTGGAGACTGGCAGGTGGTGGAGAGCGGGTGTCCGAGGCCAAAGGGAACGGTGCAAAGAGGAGGTGGTCGCTCTGCTGCAGAGAAGAGTCCACGCATGGACTGAAGTCACTGGGGAGGTCCACGATACAGTAAGTGACACAGTGGGCGTCACTTTGGCTCCAGGAGTCTGGGCTGCGCTGTCCCCTTCCACCTCTCTCTTTTTTCCCCTCTGTCTCCCTATTAAATGCATAAGAGCACAGAGAGTTGAATTGAGGATCCTTGAACTTCTGGGGCTACTCTGGGAAAGAGGAAAGGCTGGAGCTCTGTTTCTTGGCTCCCAGGCAAGGATTTGGCTGTGGTCCTGGAGAGAAAGCGAGTGCCCCGTCCAGAAGGCTTGAGCCAGCCTGGCCCCGGCGGGTGAGTGAGGATGCTGGAGTCTTCGGGGTGCAGCTGCGTGCCCCTCTTTTGTGGCTGGGCTCGTTCCAGATGAGCTGGGCATGGCAATCAAGCATTGGGGTAGCCCTGTGGCTCGGAGCAGCGTCGCGGCTTCCCCAGCCAGTTCTGCAGTTTTGCGTGGGGTTAAGAAGTCAGAGGAGGAGCACATAGGTGACTGTTTACCTGTGTTAAATAGGATTGAGCTTGCAGTCAGCCTGTGACTCTGAAATACCATAGCCTGCCTTAAATAGTGTTTTTCTCATGGCATCTTGAAGGCAGTCGGATATTTGTGTTTCTGACCTTTGTTTTCTCATGCACAGGGCAAAGAAGATGCTTTGCTGGGTGCAGTTTAGCCAGGGTAGCTGAGCCAGTTATCAGGTCACTACTGAAAAGGGCTCCCCCAGTCTCTTTTCCTTCCTTCCCTGTATTCACAGGTAAACGCACCAGAGCGTTTGTGATCCCCTGTGAATGCGGCAGCCAGGTTGTCTTTGGGCAGAAGGTCAAGCAGGCAGCAAATTAACCCACCAAAAGTAGTGAATTGTTTGCTGCAGGTGTAGTGGGTTGAATTGATTCCATGCAGGCTCCTCTGAGCTGCAGAGCTGTCACAAGGAGTGAAGCAGAAGGATGGATGTGGCAATGGGAGAGCGTGGAGGTTGTCACCACATCCCCTTTGGGCAGCTGTGGGCCAAAATTGGATTCTCTCCCCGGTGTCATCTGTGTCACCTTGGTTGGCATGGCCAAGAATGCAGAGCAGAGCAGCAGTTTGGGAAGTTGGTGCTGATCGTTGGTGACTGAAGCTGCTTCCTCTCAGGACTGAGAGGGCTGCTAAGGGCTTGGGTGAGGTGAGATCTCCATAGAGAACTCTCATCACCCAGAGATGAGTTCTCCATAGCTGCCTAGCTAGGCCGCGTGCTGTTGCAACGAGGCTGCGTGATCCAAACCCGGGGCGATGCGACTTGCAAAGCAGCGAGTGGGTGTCGTTTGCACCCGCCGGGCGCGCTGGGGCCGGGAGCTGGGGCTCGAGCAGGGCTTGGAGCTGCGCTCGAGGCGCCTTCCCCTGCGCTCGCCTTGGGTCCTCCTGCCTTGGCTGCCTGCTCTGCTGCTGCCCTTGCGTGTGGCTCTGTCGACCAGTGTGTGTCTTGCTGGGCCCGAAAGGGAATTCGGAGAGAGATCAGATGTGGATTTTGAGGCCGGTAGCTCTTCTAAAGTTAAAAAAATAATAAAAAATAAAAAGTTGCTTTTCTAGAGCAAGAGAACTTGTTCTAGCTTGGTTGCATCCATTAAAAAGGAGACGAAATCACACCAAAATGGTGTCCTCTTACCTCAGATTGGGAGTCTGCTGTGCAGCCTTAGAAAGAGCCTTTCCAGGGCGGCCGGGTGCAAACCCGGCTCGGTGACGTGCAGCAGTCCCCGCTGCTCACCTTGTCTCCGCAGCGATGTGTGGGAGATGAATAACAGCTCTTTGCTAATGGGTCTCACATCAACAAGGGTGATTTAGCAGGGAAGACTGCAGTGCATTAGTTGCTATGACACAGGCTCGCTCATCCTTGCCCTGATCGTGGATTGGCTCAGCAATTCAGCTGAAGAGGCTGTGCCCCTTCAGCACGAGGATGTGACGGGATCCTGGAAGGGCTTCTTCCCATCAAGCTGCCTCCAAAATCTTAAAATTACTGACTCGGGAGCCAGTCAGTTCTAGCCCCAGCTCATTAACTGAGCACTAGTTACTCTAGCCAGTCTGCCCTGGCTCCTGTCGAAATTGTGGTGTTATCTAAGCGGAGATGAAGATGAAGCTTTTGTGGCATCTGGCAGGAGATTACCAGCAATCTGTGTCTGTTGGTGCAGGATCAGAGGTTTTGGATCCTTGTTTTCTGGGAACAAGTCTGCCAAGTTTCCTGTCCAAGAGATCCCTGTGAGCATCGCAGGGACACGAGAGGGCCAGGAGAGAGGCAGCAGGACCCGGGGGAGCCTGGCCAGGCTGCGCGTCATGGGTTGTGCCAGAATGTAGCTGGGACGGGGATTTGTGGCTCTGTGGTGGTCTCCTTCGGTCTGCTTTGAAAAGTTATTAAGAAACAGAAAATATGTTTTTAGAAACACCTAACTTGCCCTTCTCCCTGAGATCTCAAGGGCTCTTTTTGTCTCAGGATTCTTGTCTAGAAATGAAGCATCTGCCCCTACACTGTGAAGTGTTTTCTCTTGGGTGCTTTTGAGGCCCAGCACTGCTCAAACAGGACGTCACCGGCCCTCGCTCACTCGTGATGCAGCAGAGGGGGATTTGGGGCTGCGCTGGGCAGGTGCTGTGTGAAGCACCGAGGTTATTTGGAAAGGGCGCACGGGGCAGGATAATCCACACGTGAGTTTAACATGTGCCAGATGGTACCAAGGTACCCTGTGTTTCCTGGGAGTAAAAGCCCTTGGGGCAGTTAAAGCAGCTCGGCTCCTGCTCGCATGTCAATATAAAATGTTTCCATGCAGGAGAGCAAAGCCAGCAAAGATTTTTCTGTACTGAAGCTCTAGGCACTAGAGCAACTGTGGACATTCCAGGTTCAGGTCTGGTAAGGACGCTGGCTGGGATGGTGCTGCTGCAAAGGGCCTTTGCTCCACCAGAGCCCAGTTTGGGCTGGTTTCTTGCAGGTTGTGTCTGTAGCTGGGTGTGTGCTCTTTTTAATGCAAGTCAGAAGTCGACTGCCATTATTAAATCCCAATATTCCAGTATTAAATGCTGCTTTTCAGTGTCTCGCTGAGCCCCCTTCACTGCTGCTCTCAGTGGTGTTTGGTTTCAGGTGCAGAAGCTGAGTGAGGGCAGGATGTGTGAAGGGCCATCCAAGATCTCCGGGCCCATTCCTCCAGACCCTACTCTCTTCCCAGACTATTACAAACGGCCCTTCTCAGGTGAGTCCTCGTCGTGTGTCTGCTCTTTTTGGACTCTGCCATGAGACAGCACACCCATTTTCACAGGATGACAGAACAGTTGAGGTTGGGAAGGACCTCTGGAGATGAACTAGTCCCGTAGAGCACATTGCTCAGGACCAGGTGGCTCAGGACTGTCCAAGTGGCTTCCCTAAGGAAGGAGACTCCACAGCCTCTCTGGGCAACCTGGTCCAGTGCTCAGCACCCTCACAGGAAGGAAGTTTTTCTTCTGTTCAGACAAAATTTCCTGTGCTTTGGTTTGTTGGTTTGTGCCCTTTGCCTTTCTTATAACCTGGCATGACTGAAAATATTCTGGCCTGATCCTCTTTGTACTCTCCTGTCTCATATTTAAAGGTATTGTTAAAATCTGTCCACCTTTCCCCTCCAGGCCGAACAGTCCCAGCTCTTTAAGCCTTTCCTCTTGTGAGCGATGCTCAAGTCCCCTGAACATGAAGTGAAGCCTTTTCCTGATGATCTGCTGCTTCTTCTGCTTCTTTTTTGTCAGCTCGAGGGAGGCTGGAAGGGAATGTGCAGCAGCTGGATTTTACCTCCGGCCCCCTGAGCCCATATCCCACTTTGGGCAGTGCCCGCCAGGTCCAGCCAGCCCCTCGCATCCATCCCAGTGGAAGGGACATTCTGGAAAAAGGGCGAAAGGGAACAGTCGGTCTCTTGCTGCAGCTCGAAGGGATCTCCCTTGACAGGGACCTGCCAGTGAAGAGTGAGTACAACTGAATCACTGCTCCCGTGGCTCGTGCTCAGGACCAGGCATGACGTGTGAGGTGTGCGGGGGATTCTCTGCTCTCCCAGACGTGGGGGAACATGAGTGTTGCTGGTCACTGGATCTCCTACCTTTGGTCTGGCAGGGATCTCCCTGTCCCATTGCCTGCTCTGGAGTGGTGGCTGCTGTGGCCTCCCTGGCTCCGCTCTGGCTGAGGGCTGCAGCTGGAAGGCAGGCTGTGAAAAAAAGACACCCTTTAATTTGCACTGAGGACTGGGCATGGATTAGAAACTATTTAGAGATGCTGGAAATAAATCAAGCCCTTCTAATTCGCTGCCTCTGAATGCAACCAGTGTCATTTTAGTCCAGCTTGTAGTAGGATTTCACTTGATCCATCTTCATAGAGCATGTTTATCCTGGAGAGTTCATGGCTGCAGAGGCCAGGATTCTGGAAAACAGTCTCAATATGTGGTAGTGAGAACATCTCAAAATGTGGAGGGAAGTACAAAGAGCAAAGATGCTCCCCTTCCTAGGGGAGTCACAGAGAGCAAGTAGGGGGGTCCAAAGCAGGGGAAGCTGAGTGGTGGCTGTCACTTAAGTTGCCACATATTCAGATAGTGATCCTGGCCCTCCCTGTCACTAGCGTGGTGGATGCCTGCTGGTGGCTGCCACAGCTGCTGTCCCAAGGCAGGAAGGGGATGGCAGAGGGTCTGACTGTAGCTCTTGAGAGAATGCCGACGTATGGCTGGTCTGGCAAAGTCCAAAATGGGCGAGAGGGCCACATTCCTTAAGAATGAGGGAGTCTATGAGCACCAGGAATGCAGAGAGAGCTCTGCTGACCCTCAACCAGGCACTCTGGGGTCCTGATGCAGGGCAGAGTGGAGTTATTCCGGGAATGTGCATGTAGCAAGGGAGGAAAACACACGACAGATTGTCTAGTCTGCAGGAGGGGGGAGAGCTTGCAGTTTCAGTGGGCAATTGAGCTTGCTCCGATGATGGAGCTGTCAGCTCTGGTGCCAGTGCTCCAGGAGCCTGTGTCTGCTGGCAGTGCTTGAGGGGTGAAGGTTACATCTCCCCTTGCTGTGCAGGGAAAGACCAAAAGAAGGAAAACGTGAGGAGAATAAAGGAGATTCAGAGGAAGTGCAAAGAGAAGGAGCGAACCCGTGAGCACAGCCAGCCCAAGCCTGTGAAGGCTCTGTGGAAATCCCAGAAATATGACAACGTGGAGTCAAAGGTGAAGGCCAAACTTCAGGTGAGTTCCCACGGAGCTCTTTCCTCCTGAGGCCCGGAAGGGCAGATGAGCAATGGGGCACTGTAGGACACTGGAGATGGGCTCCCACTTGGCCATTCTATTGCAGGGGTCTAAGGGTGGTTCCTGGGGCAATGTGGTGCAGACTTCACAGCATGTGCAATGTTGTGAGGGGTATCCAGGTGGCTTTTCAGCTTTACTGTGTTTTACCACAGTAACAGCTGTGGTATTTTGCCCCACAGAGCTGGTGTGATCCTTCCCTCTGAAAGATCTCCATCTTCTGTGGAGCTTCTGCTCAGAGATTTAAGTTGTTTCTCTTAAGTCTTGGTGTCTTATGTGGGATTTCTTTACTTCAGCTGTATCTGCAGCTGTTAATGGTAGCAGTTCCTTCAAAAAAGGGCTTTGACAGTGTCTTGGGGCTCTCATGAAGAGGGATGGGGCACAGTGCACTCTGCTAGAACGCTCCAGCATAAGTTTACTAATTTGTTTGTAATTTTCAGATCACTCTTTTGTAATTCTAACTGCCTGTTCTAGTTAGAGGAACTTCTCATTAACTTGTCAGTGAGATCTGAGTCTCTTGGCTTCTTGTGGAAAAAAAGACTGTGGAGCGTGATCAGGCTAGGCAGTGCTGAGGCACCACTCACATGAGCAGCCGACTCCTGCTCACAGCAGCATTGCTGATGTTACTGTTCAGTCTTCAGCACTACCAAGTAACCAGGCAAGGAATCTGCCATCAGGGGACCGCAGTTCTGCACTGACAGAGCAGTTGAGACTCTGGGTGCCTGTAAAGATCTGGAGGACCTACTGGGCCCTGTAGCTTCCAGAAGAAGAGCAGTGTCCTCGTGGTATTTATCATAAGGTCACCTTTTTGCCACAACTTCAACTTCCAATTCTCAGGGTTTGTTGGGGGGTTGTCTGCGCAGCAATCTGCAAAACGACTGGCTGAGACCTCAACTGGTGGTGACTTCTGCCGGTGCTAATTGTTGCTGCTGAAAATGAGTACAATTCTGCCCTCTCCAAACCACCAGAGTATCCAGTTTGGGGCTCTGCCAGCTTCATGCTTGCCTGTGCCATTCCATTACAGTTTGCTCTAGCAGGACTCCGCAGCATGTCCGGTGATCACCAGCACGTTGGGTTCTCCTAGCACTGGCGGGTGAGTCTCTTGGATCACCCTGTGTTGCTGTCTTTCCGTACCTAAAAGATCAGTCGGTAAAAAGAGACTCTCTGGAGCAGTCTCAATGCCTCACATACATGATCCGCAAGCTTGTTTCTGCCTTTATTTATGTATTTATTTATTTTATTGCTTCTTCATGAAACTCGCTTGACAGGTCCAGGCTGCTGCTGCTGCTGAAGGCTGCCTGGGCAGCGTACCCATGCCAAACAGGGGCAGAAAGGACACACGCTCTCATCTGTCAGCTGGAAACTTGTGGCTGAGCTTGTGGTTGACCACCCAAATGTTGCTCAATGGGTTCCTCTTTGCTCCAGCATCCCTCCAGTAGCGTGTCTCTTCTCGCCTTTTCCAGGAAAGCTCCCCACCTCCAATCCCAGAGGCTTTGAAATACCTGAAGGCATATTCCCGATGTGGCCCCGGGATCAAGCCGTGCAGGCCGCTGTCTCCAAGCCTTGCCAGGATGAGAGCAGGGGCGGACACGGAGGCTGCGGAGGCAGGAGGGGCCAAAGCCAAGGTGAGTCGCAAGCCGCCTGCGAGCTCCAGGTCCCCAGCGCTGGGGAGGGCTTGGGGCGATGCCCGTCCTGCTGCAGCGCAGGCCCCAGCCCTGCTGCCTGTGCAGGTCCCCGTTTGCTTTGCCCCGCGTGGGGCAGCTGCAGGAGCGTGTCTGCCCGGCCAGCCCCGCTGCCTTGCGCCCTCTCGCCTTTCAGATGCAGGTGGAGGGCAGGAGTGTTGACTTCATCAAACACAACGCCCTCAACGCCAAGCGGGCCCCGCTGTGGCGCTCCCAGTCCCTGCAAACCCTGGCCGAGCTGCTGGAACAGAAGCACCGGGAGCAGGAAGAGTACAACGCCAAGCAAAAGGGCCACGTACCCCAGTAGTACGTATATCCCAGGGCGGCCCACGAGACGCCCAGTAACAAGCCTCAGTCTTCCCTTTATCCCCCAGTTTTTGCATAGATAGAAACGGGAGCGTTTCCTGCTATGTGTTGGCAGTGCAATTTGCCATAGCCTGGGGAATATACACAGTGCCTGCTGGTTTCCTGACTTAACAAAAGCATCCCATGGCCAGCGTGACTGGGCTCGGAAAGAATTTGGTCTCCTCCTCCCTCGCCTGCTGCTGGGTGTTGACACTAGCCCGTGGATGCTCCGGCGGTTGTGGGAAACGTGCTCCTGCCTGGCCATAAACGTTGCTCCGTGCAACGTTGCTCCAGTAGTACAAGCTCTGCTTCGGGAGAGGCCAGTTTGCTCTGTCCTGCCCTCGGAGTGCCCAGGCAGCAGCGCGGGGAGCGGGAGGCTTTGGAGGGCCCAGTCTGTAGCCTCTGCCTGTTTGGCCTTGGCTGTTGTGCCCTGGGGGGCCCGTCCTTCCAGCTGTGCCAGCTGTGCTCTCGTTGTGCTGTGCCAGCCTGCTGCAGAGGAAGGAGCTGTGGCGCAGGCAGCTGGAGGAGCAGCAGCGAAACCTGCCAGACCCTGACACACCGCCAGGTCATGCCCGGATGCCCGAGGAGCAGCGGCTGGAGACCCTCAGCAACCTGAAGCAGAGTAAGAGGAAAAGAAACACGGGTTCCAGCTCAAAAAAATGAGAGATCCTTGCCAGGATTAGGGAGGGCAAAGTCCTGGGGCACAGGTTTTCTTGATTTTTTTTCTTTTTTTTTTCCCTGGCTGCATGACTGACTGCTTTTGAACTGTGTTTTGTGTTTGCAGAAAGAACGATCTCTTAGAGCTTGGTAGGGCTTGCATGTTGCAGGACTGTCTGGAGTAGGCTTGGCCCAATGACATTAAGTTTCTATTAAGATCATAGATTTAGGACAAACTTGCTATTTGCTCTGCCACTTATCAGCTTTCCTGTTTTTTTTGCAGGCCAAGAGCAGCTGGTGAAGGAGCTGGTGATGCTTCCGGTGCGCGCAGACACCCTCAGCATTCAGAAGAGGCGCATGGAGCTGGAGAGAAAGCTGTCCCAGATAGAGGAGGCCCTCAAAATTTTCACCAGGCCCAAGGTCTTCATCAAACTGGACTCCTGAGCCGTTGGGTGCGTGGTCGTCCTTCATTGCTGGAGAAGGATGTGAGAGGGAGGAAGGCAAGTTCAGCACACTGGGCTGGTACCCAGGTGCTGATACCTGGTCTAATGTGCAGTCTGCCTCTCTTACTCACCCTCAAAGGTTGTGCTTCATCCAGGGGAAGGGGAGGGAGCTGAGTTAATTTACTGTCTCTGCGCAGGGTGGAGAGCGGTTGTTTCTGCAGTACTCGACTCTCACAGAGGTCTGCTCTCTGTGCTCATGATGCACGGGGTGGGTCTTGTTTCTTCTTACTCCTGTTTCGCATGACCTGCTTCTGAAAACGGAGAGGAAGCCTCCTCTGCTGCTCCCTCTGGGCCTCACACTCCTGGTGCCCATTTTTCTCCCTACAAGTTCTGAGCGACGAGCACAGCTCATTCCTGCCACCTGTGCTGCACTTAGAGGCAGCCTGACCAGGTGCAGCCACAAAAAAACTCTTGTGCTGCATGTTTGCTACGTGTGCCCTCAGTGTTGGCCAGGTGCCTCTGCTCCAGGACCTGCTGGGGGTGGTCCCTATCTTGGGGACAGCTCAAGGGGCAGCGCTCCAGCCCTCCTGGGAAGGAGCTGGGAGATCTGGCAGTAGCCACCACGGCCGGGTGACTAGATAGAGACCTTCCCTGTCTGTGGGGCAGGACATGCTCCAATAAAGCATCGTGTTTTGCTCCGCTCGTGTTTGCAGTGAATTGCAAATTGGTCTCGCTGTGCCCACAGTCTCTTTGTGGGCCAGTGCGGTGCCCTGGGGCACGGAGGAGAGGTGCTGCTGCCAAGGGCAGCTAAAGCTTTTTGGAAGCTGGAGAAGGGAAGGTGCCAGCGTGGGCGCGGAGCCCCCCGCGCCTCGGGGCTGTGCCCGGCCGGAGCTGCGGGCAGAGCGGCACCCTGAGGGCGACGCGGAGCAGCTCCCTGGCCCTCCCTGCCCTAACCGGGTCTGGCTCAACCAGCTCGGCTGTCTGGCTGCTCTCCCGCCTGCCTGGGGCCTGGCTCTGTGTGCTCTGAGCACCCCTGTAGCCGCGTCGGCTGCCCTGCACAGGGGCACTGGGGTGGGTAGAGCTGCCCCGAGCTTCAGTCCCCCATTGCTCTTCTAAGATCCTCGGGTTCCAGGGGAGAGTGGGGCCTGGGCTGCTCTGCAGCTGTATGGTACAAAGCGAGACTCCGTGTTGTCCCTTCAGGCCCTGAGGGGTGCAGGTCATCCGAGTCCACGCTCAACATCCCACCATGGGCCCTTGGCGGCAGCAGCCACAGAGAGCCCCAAAGGCAGGGCTGGGTGAAGGCGGCGCTGCCACGACGGCCGAGGAGGGCAGTGCCCCGAGATACAGGATGCCGCCAGCCCGGCCCCCTCGCCCTGCCCCCGGGGCCTCCGGCTGCTGGTCTCCAGGGCCGAGTGGGGACCGTGCTGCTGCGGCCCTGCGGGTCACCTCTGCCTCAGCCGAGGAGCGGGGACGGTTCAGTCCCTGCTGGTTAGCGGAGGTGGGCAGGAGCTGGTCCTCTCTCCTTGCTGGGAATGGTCCCTCTGTGCCTGCAGCGGCCTGGGCAGGGTGCAGCGAGGAACAGGGCTGCCCAAGGCAGGATGTGACTCCCCTGTGCCTCTGTGGGCCACTCTGCCAGCAAAGGTGGCCTGTGACCGTCCTCCTCTTGCCCTTGCTGTGATGGGCCAGCTGACCGTGGCAGCTGGTGGCAGTGGAGGGCAGTGATGGACCTTGGTGCAGATGCTAATGCTGGTGTGTTGGGCCCGGTTGCGGGTGCTGCGCCTCATGCTGGTGTGGAGAGGAGGGGCTGAGGGGCG